AATAATAAAACCGGTTATATCTCGAGATTTCAAAAGTATATTATTGAGAACCCGCCATAGCCTACTCAGAGAAAAGAAGCAATATATAGAATATATTTACATATTATATTACATTAAAATAGAATTCATTTAATATATATATATTATTTATTTCGTTATGCTTAGTACTGCATATGTCTGTGCAAGTATGTAAAAAGTGAACCAGAGAGGCAGATTTAATATAGTTAATGGGAAAAATAAACCGAGTTTCTTCAGATCTTTGAACGTAAATTGGACATCCCAATATTGAGTCTAATTGTTTTGTCTTCTGAAATTTCTTGAATTGACAAAAAGTGTAATTCTGTCCATTGCTTGCTTTATACCTAAATATAAGTCTAATTTTTGTATAATCAATGCTATCTGAATTTTCTACCAACTTTATAATGTCACTGACATGAAACTTCAATTTAATATAATCTTTCTCATTATTAATAAATATGTACATAATATAATTATAAAACTCGAGTTTTTTTATTTAATAATACATATTCAAATTCAAGATATATTGTATATGACTTGAAGAGGTCACCAAGAAGTAGATTATTTTCATTTATAGTCATGTTTAATTCATAATTTCTAATTTTTTCCTTTTCTATCGATTTTTAAGTTTAATATCAGTAAAATACTTATCATGACAAATGGCATACCCAGCATCTAAAAAACAATTATATATAATAAAAAAATAATATAAAGTCTTATTAAAAAAATTTAATTTACTAGTTACCTTCTTTATTTTTTTTATTTTGTAGAATTATTGAGGTGAGTGATGCGTTACTAGTAGCATACCAGTTTGAAAACATTGTATTAAGATATGAATCTGTAACAAGGCTAGAAAGCATATTGGTATTAACATTAAATTGGGGTTTTGCCAGCTATCAAAAATAAATCTTAACACTTGTATTGTATTATAATGCCGGGTGAGTTCGAGTTTAATAATTTTACAGTTGGTATGTGGAACCATCCTCTTAAAAATTCTATAGACCATTTCTTTAACACCTACAGCAATATTGGTTAGCATTGCAAAGTTCTGAGCATGTTGTAAAAGATAAATGTTCATATAAAGATTCAGTAAATTCGTAAAGCATTCTGGAAATAACTGTTTTTAAATTAATATTTAGTACATTAAACATTAAACAATAGAAGTAAAACAGTTTGAAATTAAAACTTTAATATATTCATATAGAATAAAATTAAAGTTTTAATTTCAGACCACCTAATAAATATAATTTACAAAGACTAACTTCAATAAGTAAGTCATGCTTTTTTGTTAATAACTTTTGCAATTCTTAGTAAATGGTATTAGTTATTGATATTATAAATGCAAGCTTAAGTGATCTAGCTTCAATAGCCCAGAGAGAGCCTAATTTCATAATTATTTGTTTTTTTTTACTAAAACTTCCTTACTATTTTTTTAAAATTTCAGTCTTGATATGCTGAAATTTTAAAAAACATTAAA